CTTCAAGCCTGCTTTTTTTCAAAAATTTTGACTTTTTCTTCAATAACCATACGAGAACGAGACCGTTTGATGACTGATATTAAGCTTGTAGACACACGACTGTACCAAATTTTGGAATATTCTATTGAGAACAAAGTGAGTTATGGCATTTTTTAAAGTGGGCCTATGATTTTGTCCAGCACTATATCAGGTTTATTAGTGATTACAATTATTTCTACACACAGATTGCTTCTTTTCTGAAAATATATTTGTAAAAAACATTTTGAAAAGGGGAACTACTCGAGTAGCAATAAACTTCACAAATCATTCAGAAAGCCCTACCATTTCGGAACTCTGCCACAATCATGCGAGATCATGGAAAAATTTTTCAGTTACCATGCTTTCTCTGCAGATAGCCACCTTATGGGTCGCTAGCAAGTGAGTATGGCAAGTTCTAGCGCCTAGGTGACCCTACAGGTCGCCACTGAGAAGGGCAAATAATTTGTTGTGCCCAGTTTCCTTACATGTCGCTAGCAGGTGGGTAGGGCAGATAATTTGTAGCTTGTGTAACTCTACGGGCCGCCAGCAAGTGGGGGCAGATAATTTGTAGCACCCGTGACCCTAAGGGTCGTTAGCAGGTGGGTAAAGTAGATGATATGTAGTGCCTAGATTCCTTAAGGGTCACCATCGAATGAGAGCAAGTAATTTGTAGTGCCCAGATTCCTTACATGTCGCTAGCAGGTGGGTAGGGCAGATAATTTGTGGTGTCCCTACGTATTGCTAGCAAGTGGGAGCAGATATTTTGTAGATATTTAGGAGAGCCTAGATTCTTTACATATAGCTAGCAGGGGAGTAGGCAGATAATTTGTAGCCTGAGTGACCCGATCGCTAGCAAGTGGAAGCCGATATTTTGTAGCACTCATGACCCTCCGGATCTCTAGCAGTGTGGGCATATAATTTTTGGTGCCCAGTGACCCTACGATCCCTAGTATGGAATATTGTGTAGCACCCAGGTGGTACTACCGATACCTAGCAAGCGGATAGGGTAGATAATTTGTAGCCTGAGTGACCCTACGGATCGCTAGCATGGGGCAGACATAGTGTAGCACCCAGGTGATACTACTGATAGCTAGCAAGCGGATAGGGGGATAATTTGTAGCCTGAGTGACCCTACGGATCGCTAGTAAGTGGGAGCAGATAACTTTTGGTGCCCAGCGACCCTACGGATCGCTAGCATGGGGCAGACATAGTGTAGCACCCAGGTGACACTACTCATAGCTAGCAAGCGGATAGAGTATAGATAATTTGTAGCCTGAGTGACCCTACGGATCGCTAGCAAGTGGGAGCGGTTATTTTGGCGCCTAGATTCCCTACATATAGCTAGCAGGAAAGTAGGGCAGATAATCTGTAGCCTGAGTGACCCTACGGATCGCTAGCAAGTGGGAGCAGACAACTTTTGGTGCCCAGTGACCCTACGGATCGCTAGCATGGGGGCAGATATTGTGTAGCACCCAGGTGACACTACTGATAGCTAGCAAGCGGATAGGGTAGATAATTTGTAGCCTGAGTGACCCTATGGATCGCTAGCAAGGGGGAGCAGTTATTTTGGAGCGCCTAAATTCCTTACATATAGCTAGCAAGAGGGTAGGGTAGATAATTTGTAACCTGAGTGACCCTACGGATCGCTAGCATGCTGCAGATATTGTGTAGCACCCAGGTGACACTACTGATAGCTAGCAAGCGGATAGGGTAGATAATTTGTAGCCTGAGTGACCCTACGGATCGCTAGCAAGTGGGAGCAGATAACTTTTGGTGCCCATTGACCCTACGGATCGCTAGCATGCTGCAGATATTGTGTAGCACCCAGGTGACACTACTGATAGCTAGCAAGCGGATAGGGTAGATAATTTGTAGCCTGAGTGACCCTACGGACCGCTAGCAAGGGGGAGCAGTTATTTTGGAGCGCCTAAATTCCTTACATATAGCTAGCAAGCGGATAGGGGGATAATTTGAAGCCTTAGTAACCCTACGGATCGCTAGCAAGTGGGAGCAGATAACTTTTGGTGCCCAGTGACCCTACGGATCGCTAGCATGGGGCAGACATAGAGTAGCACCCAGGTGACACTACTGATAGCTAGCAAGCGGATAGGGTAGATAATTTGTAGCTTGAGTAACCCTACGGATCGCTAGCAAGTGGGAGCAGACAACTTTTGGTGCCTAGTGACCCTACGGATCGCTAGCATGGGGCAGATATTGTGTAGCACCTAGGTGACACTACTGATAGCTAGCAAGCGGGTAGAGTAGATAATTTGTAGCCTGAGTGACCCTATGGATCGCTAGCAAGTGGAGAGGCACATAATTTGTAATGCCTAGGTGTCCCTTCGTATCGGTAGCAGTAAATAGGGTAGATAATATGAGGCTAGGTTAAGGCACAGATATTCTCATAGTGTCAACTTTAGCACAAATTATTCTCCCATTTTGGTCGTTGTGCGCTCACACCATCAAGAAAACGAACGTATCAGATCTTTGGAAGATTACAAAATGGCTGCTTGTGCGAACAATTTTGCTATCCAAGAATAACTATCCATGCAAAGCAGCTCTTTTCCTCACACTCCAGTTGAAGCTCTCTCAAAGTTCCTCTTGAAGACTTCTGCATGCTCTTGAAACTTGGTTTTCCTCCACTTTTATGGAAGTTTTCTTCGAAAGTAGTAGTTGCACCTGAACTACTATGACAGTAACGCAAATTTTAATCAAGTCGTGTACGATGTTCAGCCAACAGGGGTAGAGACAATGTTTGACCGAGTTTCTAGAGTAGTTTGATAGAATTTTCTTGCAACAAAAGCATCGGCTTGGAGCTCCACCAAATCTTTTATATTCCATAAAGATCATCCTGAAGTCGTTCACAAATGTTCTCTGAGCCAGGTTTTCAGATGTTTTGGAAATCGCTGCAAAACAGGATATCTACAATGCAAAGACCCTTGTGAATATATTTCACTTTCTTCCCTAGACTCTTACCATTTCTAGCTTATGTAATAAATTCGCCTCTTTTAGAAACATTTTGAAAAGCCCTTCAAGTCCAGTGTCTTAGGAAGTTGGTATAAGATTTGTGCAAATAACGAACCTTCGTAAAAACTTTGCAAAGAAATGACTCGTTTTCGTTCCAGTATTTTGCCAAATTGCCAAAGTATTGTCAGATCCACAACTTGTGTCCAAACAGAATTTTTCCTCCTTCCAGCTGCTGTAACCGCAATGTGATTCATTGCGAGAGTGCAGAGATAATCGTTGGAATTTACAGCCTTTGATTTTTACCATGTTTTTCGCTAATTTTTGTTTTCATGTGAGACTTTAGGAGAGGTTTGATAGCAGGCAACTTTTTGCCATTTGAACCAATTTTTTGCAGCCATACGGCTTGTGTTTCAGAATTCCTGAAAATAAATTTATAGAGCAACATAATTTCACGCGGCGTACTTTAAGCTCGTAAAACACGAAGTGATAAGCAGTTCAAGTATCACGTAAGTTCTCCTTTTTCTAATAGTTGTCTTTTCATATCATGACGAGACAAGCGAAAACAAAACGACAATTTCCCAATTTCACTGGTGCACACTGGTATCCTAAGTTTCGAAATCTTCACAATTTGAGGCGGAAATCATCATTACTTTGTAAGGTTAGCAGTAGCAGTAATGTGTTAAGACCTCTATTCCGAAAATTTAGCAGTGTTTGTTGCAACAGGTTATGCGAGTTTTGAAACTCGAGACTTTTGGGAAGTTATTTAGCAAAATTCCAAAAAGGAGCTTAGAAAAAAGGAAAAATTTTTAGCTGGCAAAGGGTTTGCTTTAGCTGGTTATTGAAACTTTCCCAAAAGTTTCAGACAAAAAATTCGAAAAGTAGCGAAAGCTGGACCTTTTGAACAAAGTGTTGTACATCCCAGTGGTAATCAGAGCACTCTCTTAACAAATTACACGATTAATACAGCAACTGATAAGAGGAAGAAATTCCGTATTAAATACATTTCGAAGCGTTTGTTTATCTCTATAAACAGTCCCAATTGCAAATCACAAGCATCCAAAACCGCCGACCTGACGAAGTGCCAAGTGTCTCATTGCATAAACAAATTGACCGCAGCATCAAAACGGCTCCAAAAATAGTCATGCTGAACCGCGTAAACAATCTCAGGCGCCATTTCTGACACAGTGCCAAGTGCCCCACTACGTAAACAAACGTATCGTCAGCGTCAGAACCACCGGCAGAGCAGCAGTCGACAGAGTGTGAACCTAAATGCACCCAGAAAACTCTCACTCCCTGCCTTGCATTCATACCTAACCGCTCATTGATGAGTACGTTTTTTTTGGCGTGATAGCCGGGCACGCCTCTCATGCAACCCGACCACCTCCGCGCTCTCCCTACTCACTTGTCTAGGAAGGTGTGGCTAATAATCTGGAAATTGCACTCTTACCATTCGTTAATATATACTGATCACGTAAAACAACGTCGCGCTACAAACTACACACTTTCACAAATGCATCACTTCAAGCTTACGTGGCAGTCGTATATCTACGCGCTAAAAATTATGAAAATGTTGAGAATAAACTTTTTATGGCCAGACAAAAAATGGCATCAATCAAAAATAATTCAAAGATACATAAAAAGACGATGGAAACCTGGCACAAGCACAAACAGGTACATCTCCGATACATTTCATCAAAACAGAGTCTAGCCGATTGTGCCACAAGAGGTATATCAAGATATCAAATGGATAATTCGTTGTGGTGTAGAAACCAACCTTTCTAACATTACAAGATAAAAAGTGGCCTACATTTAAATGTAGTACATGGCAAAATGAAAAGATGGAAAACTTTGAGAGCGATAATGATGGCATACAAAAGCAAATCAACTAAAGACTAACACAAGTATGCGGGAATGTCTACGTCTGGAGGAACATTCAGACATTAAGAAATTTAAAGAACTCACAGCTTTAGTACTTAGAGCATTAAAAATGATAATTTTCAATAACTTTTCCCAGTTCAAGAAAACAAATTGAAAATGGCTATACCTGAAATCACAGCCATAGTTGAACAGAAACCACTTGCCTTATGCGAGGCCCATGACATTGAGGCTGCTGAAATATTAGGTGCACTAATAGATAAGTACGATGCTTTTGCAGCTTTTAAAAATGCTGCAGACAGAAATACGTCCAGTGCTTGGTATCTTCTGGAAAGAGCACTTCAGTAGGAACCGGGTCATGAATCCTTTTTGAGTAAATCTTATTTTCCAAGGAAAAAAATCCGCAAGAAAGTGAGAAACCCTAATTTTCTCATATTGCGCAAATATGAGGAAATTTGTTTTTATTGATAAAAGATTTTCAGATTGGTAAGTCGCAAGTTTCTTTGTTGGTCATTAAAAGGGAAAACTCCTCTGTATCCAAATACCAGACTGCTGTTCTCTGCATTCATTACAGCATGAAAACGAAGCTTAGGAAGTCAAAGAATTGAGCCTTTGGAAATTTAGCCATGTCAAGGCATAACTGTCTTTACTGAAGATAGAAAATCCCAAATACCTGACATGTGATAGAGCAAGCTCAAAGCTACTTTCCCACAAAGAATTATGGATGGAAAATAACAAGAAAATTTTATGTGAAGATTTACATGCGAAAACGAACTTATTTATTAGCCAACCTAGCTATCATAAAATTAATTCAAAGTGCAAAAAATAAACAAAACGGTAACTATCTAGAAATTAGACTATTTGAAGATGAACAGGAATTTTACGCTGCAACGGCAGAGTTGAACCAGAAGGATGGTTGAGACAAAAAAACTTATTTTTTCAGATCCACAACATCCCCTAACAAAAGCTATTATCAAAGAATATCATTGAAATTGTGGCTGTCAGGGCATTAGTGCTGCTCTCGCAAACACACTACGAGATTTTGGATATCAACGGGACGACAAGTGATAAAGAGTTGTTTAAATAAATGTGTAATTTGCAAAAGATGCAATGGACGACCATACTTGTATCCTGATTCTCCTTCCTTGCCAAAGCAACGTACAAATCTTTGTCGCCCATTCCAACATGTGAGAATCGATTCGGCGGGATTATTCCGCACGATGACTTAAGCAAAAAAAAATCAATGATGGTTTGTTTTGATAAACGACGATTTTCGGCGCGTAGAGGTCAACCGCAAACAATTATTTCCGATAATGCGACTTATTTGAAATTAGGAAGGGAAGTCGAATAATTACAAAAGGGAAGTAACAGTGAACAATTTGAAAAAATTCTAGCTTTACGAAAAACTCAAATTTATAACTCCCCTTTCCCCATGTAAGATAGGATTTTACGAACGTCTAATAGGAGCACTAAAATCAGCTTCTAAAAAAACAGTTGGTCGTAAAATCCTAAACAAACAATCCCGAACATCCCAATACTGAATTTGAAACAATCGTGATTGAATGTGAAGCAATGGTAAATTCAAGACCTTGACGTATGCCGGAAGTACAAAAGAAGATTCAATCATTTTACGCCCTATTGGTTTTTTGTCCCAGCAAGCGCAAGTTGCACAGCTGCCAATACAAAACAAGGCAATACAAGGCAATGGTGAGTCGTACATTCCATCGATTATGACGAAACCTCAGAAACCCCACCTCAGATATTACGAGAAGATTAGAACATTTCTAAACAATCTCTGGAGATTATGGAGCTACCAGCACCTATTTGAACTCAGAAATCATCACCAAAAGAGAATACGTCAAAAACAATTTTCACTCGAAAAATATCCAGAAAAGGTGAAGTGCTTTTTATTATAGACGACTACCAATCGGAAGGAGAACTGAACTTAGGGTCAGTGTGTAAATGATAAAAGACAACGATGGCCAAGTTAGAACTGCAGAATTATAAACTGCAAGGTTAATAGAATGTTTAGTAAACATGTTCATTCCACTAGCAGGGCCCGGCACAAGGTGGGCAAACAGGGTTTTCCAAAACTAATACCCCTTTGATCCCAGTAAGTTTTACGAATACTCCCTTGAGCCCAAAAATGACGTTTTGTGCTTGTGCGACGAGATTACCGGCCACACTTCGCCTAAAAGCGCTCAAAAGCGCCCAAATTGCTCAAATTCCTCATATTACTCAAATTGCTGTACCAAGATAGGAAACAGGAAGAAAAATAAGCAGTAAAAAGGATTAGGGAATGAGAAGATATCAAAGAAACGCAGTCATAGGAATGAGAGACGCCGTTCCCGCGCGTATCGATTGACTAGGGCGCGCTTTCTATCTTAGAAAGCTGGGCTGCTGATGCCATTTTGGGCTCCAACAAGGACAAGAGGAGGAGTTTCGGAACCAAAATTTCACCATGTAGTAAACTTTAGGTGTACAACATATTTATGTAAAAATTTTGAGAAAATTATGTGAATTGAGAGTTTTGCCGACCTCAGGTGGGAATTAGGTCGGCAAATGCCGACCTAATTTGGAAATAAGTTAAGGAAACTCTTCATTCACATAAGTTTTTCATAATATTTCATACTTTATTACTTAGTCCTATTGCGCATATACACACCGAAGCCCGCGCGATTTCGTTACCTCTGCGTTGCAAACGAGCCATTTTTCCATTTCTTCGGTAGCGCAAAATTTCCAGAAAAAAGTTTGCCACAACCTTCAGTCACATAATTTCTCAATGAAACTCCTCAGTTAAGTCTTGCAAGACCGTGTGCATGTACTTACCAAGTTTCATACCATATCGTTCATCTGCGCTTTCCAAACGAGCCGTTCAAATTCACATTTTCAATTACCAGTTTTGCGAAATTCTCGGAAAAAATGCTAATTACTCGTTCCGTTCACATAAGTTTTTCATAATTTTTCATACTATGTTTTCACTAGCCTCTGTCCGTTCGCACACAAAATTTGGTGCCATATCGTTACACACACATTGAGAACTAGTCACGTATGCAGTTACAAATAGCATCGCTTGGGCGACGTCGCGCGTGCGGCACTTAGCGACGGCGCGGTTTGACGCGCGCGAACTCCAGTGTTCGCCTGTTGAGGCACATAACATGTCAAGATAAGTAGCGAGCATGAACTACCAATTTTTTTCCGTGGCTCTGCCCCGGACCCCGCAAAAACGATTTCCCCTTTGCTTTTTGGCCCCAGAACGATTTCCAGCTTGTCATTTGCCGACCTCGTGCCGGGCCCTGTCCACTAGAGTTGGACAAATAAATAAAATAAATGAAAAATGAAAAACTAAAATCCTCAAGTGATGAGTCTGTTAAAACAGACAAAGAAAAGGATACATAGCGACCAAACGAAGTATCGTCTGGCGGAAAATCAACTAAGCGCGAGAGGCGACGCATATTCTTGCCGAGCACAAAAAACGACGTGACCATTACAACAAACAAGAAACTAGCGCAAATCACACCCTTGTTGCGGCGGCATTATTGATCATAGCGCTATTGATTGCCTCAAGCACAACCAAAACAAACGCAGCAAACGAGGAACAAACGGAAATAGAATGCACCAAGGGAGGAGTGGTAATATCACATACAAGTATACCAAAAATCTTAGAAATTTGCGGAAATGAGCACTATTTCGAGATAAAACTACCAGAGCAGTTATTTACAGTGCAATTTCCTCCTGAAATAACACTACATACTTGCCAAGTACATACGAAATTTTTTGAAGGTAATACCACGAAAACAACTTGGGCTCGTCTATCGAATCCTTACTGCGAACAAATAACATGCAGGTTTTGTACGGCAATGACTTCGAACCCAGAATGTTGTCCGCACACAGCGATAGGAGTATCGGCCTTGATCTCATACATAAGCATGATCACTATATAAATGTTGAAAAAAACAATGAAACGAGTCACGAGAATTTCCATTACGATTTTACGTAAACTTTGGCTGCTCAGATATATTTCTACAACGATACGCAACAGAAGGTGTTGTTTCGCTTGTAGTATAGATCAAAGGAAAAGAAGATGGTAACCATCAACAGTGATAATAATACTAGCTCTAAGCACAGCAACTTTATACGCAGCTCAGGCTCGCCAACAGAATATAATCGTTCTAACATCGATTGAGCAGTGCACTAACAATAATAATTGCATAACCTACAAAAGAGTTATCGGATTGAGTTCTTTACAGCCACAACTCAAAATATCGTTAAAATAACCTTGAAAGAATTTGTTTTACGATGCTACAAAGAGACACTGCACTTTACGCGAAACACAGATGTACGAGTACAATACCGCAAGAGATGTCCGCACATGGGATCGTGCAAGATAAAAAAAAGTGCAGAGGTAACTCCGGAAAGCAAAGTAAAAGAATCAGAAGGGCAAAGAATTGTTCAAGAGTTACTTACTGTTCTGAGTCCGAGACTAGGCTGCTCTTGCGGGTACCCCTCCTCAGTATGTCTTTCTTACAGAATATACCGCGTACCCTATTACGATTCAATATGTGAAGTGTTTGAATGCCCGGCATGGCACAAAAAGGTAACGATAATTTATGAAGAGTTCCAAGGCGGCAGACCCTCTAAGTACAAGGTGGAAATGACACCAGAGGTAACAAAAAAAATCAGCAATTCTATGATCACGATATTATCCATGAACTGGGATCTAATTACCCTATTTCCAGGTGTATAAGCCGCACCCTGTTCGCTTTAAAGGCGCACACGCCAAAAACTGCTTGTTACGATGGGGCGCGTTAAGTGAAAGCAATGTGCGAAAAAGAGACCGCTTCGCGAGGCACTTGCGCAGCGGCATGCTTGAGTCTGCTCGCGGTTAGAGCAAAGAGGATGCGGCTTATACACCTGAAAATAGGGTACATTGTTGTCGAAAATATCCATGAATAATATGTAATCTACAGCATATTTGAAAAAAACAAGTCACCTTTAGTTACGCATGCCAAAATTGTACAGCAACAAAATCTGATATTAAAGATACGTGTAAATGCAACCCAGCAGAAGATTATGTAAATTGTTATTGCGATATCAACAACGTTATCAACACTAGGCAACTTTTTAACATATTACCCGTTTCAATACCAAAAGGGGCTATCACAACCGAAAGAAAACAAACATGCCCACCGCAAGGAAGAGCTCAGCGTCTACAGAAATAGCAATTCTACTTGATAAATTTAATGGAAAAGTAAATCAAAAAGTTACAGATTTTTCGTGCAACATACGCTTGAAAGAAATTATAAGATTTTACAACTGCTGGAAAGAAGCCAGTAACAATAACGTGTTACGAATATCCAACAAGCTGTAACTCAAGTAAACTGTAAGATACACCATTTTTGACCAGCTGTTTTTAAGAAGGTAAAGAAAACGATATTCGAATTCATTCAATACGGCACAAAACGGAATCTAGCTAATGATCGTCGATGTTGATACGACTTTGCCTTTCGCTTTATTTACGCTCGAACTCGCTGAGCATTTGCTCAGATAGATCGCGCTGATAACTACCAAGAATGTCAACGCTGCGAACATGTTTACGGTATACAGCACGTAGCTTTGTAAACATCGAGGATGTGTGAAAAATCAGGAAATTCGAAGTTGAATAAGTCATTGCCTCATATAGTATTGCCCCATGCCTTTACATAATGGAGAAATGGTCTTATTCCGTTGATATAATTGAGCGTTCCTTTTATATGAAAGATCAAGCGTTGTTGACTGGACTTTACTTCGCATTGTTTTTTGATTTGTGCCGTATTGAATAAATTTGAATATCGTTTTCTTTACCTTCTTAAGAACAGCTGATCAAAAATGGCGTATCTTATAGTTTACTTGAGTTACAGCTTGTTGGATATTCGTAACACGTTATTGTTACTGGCTTCTTTCCAGCAGTTGTAAAATCTTATAATCTCTTTTAAGCGTATGTTGCACGAAAAATCTGTAACTTTTTGATTTACTTTTCCATTAGAATTATCAAGTAGAATTTTGCTATTTCTGTAGACGCTGAGCTCTCCCTTGCGGTGGGTATGTTTGTTTTCTTTCGGTTGTGATAGCCCCTTTTGGTATTATTTCAACGATATTTTGAGGTATCTTCCCGTTCTCTAGATGTAGGCAGAGTTCTGGCTGTAAAGAACTTAACCCGATAACTCTTTTGTAGGTTATGCAATTATTATTGTTAGTGCACTGCACAATCGATGTTGGAACGATTATATTCTGTTGGCGAGCCTGAGCTGCGTATAAAGTTGCTGTGCTTAAAGCTAGTATTATTATCACTGTTGATGGTTACCATCTTCTTTTCCTTTGATCTATACTACAAGCGAAACAACACCTTCTGTTGCGTATCTTGTTGTAGAAATATATCTGAGCAGCCAAAGTTTACGTAGAATCGTAATGGAGATTCTCGTGACTTGTTTCATTGTTTTTTCAATACTTATATAGTGATCATGCTTATGTATGAGATCAAGGCCGATACTCCTATCGCTATGTGCGGACAACATTCTGGGTTCGAAGTCATTGCCGTACAAAAGTTGCATGTTATTTGTTCGCAGTAAGGATTTGATGGACGAGCCCAAGTTGTTTTCGTGGTATTACCTTCAAAATATTTCGTATGTACTTGGCAAGTATGTAGTGTTATCTCAGGAAAAAATTGCACTGTAAATAACTGCTCTGGTAGTTTTATCTCGAAATAGTAAATTCATTTCCGCAAATTTCTAAGATTTTTGGTATACTTCTAAGTGATATCACCACTCCTCCCTTGGTGCGTTCTATTTCCTTTGTTCCTCTTTTGCTGCGTTTGTTTAGGAAACGGCCCTTTTGAACCGCTCGCGATCACGGCGCGCCTCTGATTGGTTAACATGTCCACTGCCATAACGAGTTAATACTCGTTCATTTTTGTACATCTTTCGTGTCCAACATGATGATAGGTTTTGGCACAGGTATATTACATGCTTCAAACTAAGATTTTCCCCGTTGACTGTAAATGCGACTTGTTAGCTTTGCCAGCGGCGCCACACGCGGCTAAACAGCATCGTGGCAAAGGGTTCAAAAGGGCCTACACCCCGTTTGTTTTGGTTGTGTTTGAGGCAATCAATAATCTACCATGTATCACTTATTACTTATCAGTTATCGCTTATCAGTTATCGCTTACCATATGTCGCTTAAAGGCAGTAGATCGGCAGAATGAGACCCGTGACAAAACAAGGTCACGGGGTAGGAGCCCCCATATGGAACCTATCGGCCAAAGTCCGATCTTTTTCTGCCATTTCTAACCCCCGAAATTTCAAAGCGAAAGCAGCGCTCATCTCCTGTCCTCTCCAAACCCGCCCACCCCATGGACGAGTGAACGCGAAGCCCGCCATGGCGAAGACGCAGAGTCGTTGCGGGACCTCATGTTTACAGCATTGCGGCTGGCCTCTGACCGCGGAAGTCACTCGTCCATGGGGTGGGCGGGTTCGGAGAGGACAGGAGATGAGCGCTGTTTTCGCTTTGAAATTCCGGGGGTTAGAAGTGGCAAAGAAAGATCGGACTTTGGCCGATAGGTTCCATATGGGGGCTCCTACCCTGTGACCTTGATTTGTCACTGGTCTCATTCTGCCGATCTACTGCCTTTAATACTTATCACTAATCACTCATCTTTTATCAATTATCACTTATCAAGTATTACCACTATGTATCAAGATACCAATACTCAAGGAAAACCAGTAAAGAAATAATATACACAGAGTCCACTATATAGAATGGAATGCAAGCACGACATTAAATGAACAATGATATAAGAATAACAATATGACACAAATACACAAAAAAGTCGCAGCATTCACCGAAACCTCTACGTTATCATCGCCAACGACGACTCGGAAGGATCTTCATCGTCACATGAATTTATGTATTGTATGTAAATGTGAATTTTTTTGTAAGAGACTTGACTGAGACTAATATTGTACAAAAGCAACAAATTTTTTTCCTTTTGTGTGTGGGGAGTGTCATGAATCCCCGATTCATGATTCGCGTTACATTGGTGCCGTGCATTCTTGTAGCAAGCTGTCAATGTTTATTATTATGGTTTGGGAAAGGCAATGGTTCTTAAAGCGGGAGCTGAGGGAAACCGGGAGCAAGGAGGAGGGAAAAGCCAGCCCGTTCCTGATTATTGAGGAGCACGGTAAGATGGTGAAGAATGTCATGGTAAGGTAAGGATTATAGTAAGGTGAGGTAACTTTCTAGGAGTTTAATTTGTTAGATATTTTTACGATGGGTCAAATTCGTAATATTTCAATGTGCATTGTGTTGTCAACAAATCATAATACTTGTGAAATGGGTATTAAGTTAAGAAATCGTGCGAGAACAGTACGAACAATCATCAGCTCACTTGAATAGATGCTTATATTCAGTGGATTCAGGGCCCCACAGTAGGGAACGTTACTGAACATTCGAGGTGTGTATGGTGGCTTGAGGTAACGGAATTCGCCGACAACACTTGCGCGTGGAAAAGCCGCCAAGGCGGAAATAAAAATGCGTCAACGGCCTTTTGCAAGCGCAAAGCACTCAGCATTACTGACGCAGCGTTGTGAGTAGCACTCGATCGAGAGTTGTCATGCACAAAACTTCTAAGAATAAGGGAAAATATTAATCATCATGAACAAAACTTCTAAGAATAAAGGGAGAATAGTAACCAATGTTTCACACAATCTTAGAAAGAAAGAAAATATTTATCTTATGTTTCACGTCAAATACACAATGCCAAGGAAAGCAAGCCTTGAGGCGTCAGCCATTGCTATCTCCTCGTTTGCTTTCTGTGATACAAGATATTATATTGTTACATACACATGACATATTTGCCCTAAAAATCAAGTCTGATTCTCGCGCTAGCATGCATCCAGTATCATAATGACATTAAACTTTCTAGAGATTGTGTAAAACCCGACGGCTTAGGCCTAGGAAGGTGAACAGAAACGGAGTGCTGTAGTGCATTCCTTTGAGATGTTTTGGATGGCCTACAGGCATTAGGCCAGCATATGATATGAAAGAGACCAAAAGATTGAACTCATGCCCAGAGGTAAATATTTTCTAATATATCCAATTGCACATTCATTTGTATTTGATATTTGACATTCAGTTTACGCCTGTTCTTTTCAAGCAAAGTGGAGCAAGAACGTGAACTTATTACAGTCTTAACAAAAAGCCAACCCACAAAGTTGAAAATAGAAGGGGAAATACAAGAAGAAAAGCTTATTATAAATCAATAATTTTATGAGTCTTACCTTTTGTGGCCGACCAGCAACCTGATACGGGGTTCCGGGCGCCTTCGAAGCGTTTTTGATTTCATAGCCTCATTACTTTCGCAAACTTCATGTTTCTGCCTAGAAAAGGGATTTCGCGTAACCAAACAAATAAGACGAGCCGATAAATCTCACGGTGAAAACGTAGGAGCAACCAAAACGACCAGAATTATGCAAAATAATTCTAGGTTGAGCTTGGGGTCAGACGCGCTAAACCTGGGGGGGGGGGGGTAAGACTGAGGGAAGGCGGTAGTAATCAAAACTAATTGTTCATAAAATGGAGGGGATGTCACGATTGAGTGAGATGAAGAAGAAGAGTGCTAGTCCAGTTAACATCATTACGATAAGGTTACCAAAAGTACTTGCTGTGTGGAGTGGATAAGATCTCCGTAATCAGCATAACAAATTACCTATACGAGCTCTATAAACCACCACCTATCACATTTTCTAGTGTTTCCTAACATTTAGGAAGCGTGCATTTCAAACATGATTAACTAGGTCATTAGTGACTGCTTTCTTGTGTTCAAAACGAAGTCATATCTTTGTCAGTCTATGGTAGAAATTAGATCTCACGTCGCTTGTAAAAAGTGGATCAGGAAGTACTGCCAAAATTTCAATCAACGGTTTTCTACCTTGCGTGCTTAGAATCTTCCAGGTTTGTGCTAGCGGATCACATACAATTAAGGTAAAAAAAGATTCTTTGATGATAAAGTTAACCGGCTTAGGCGCAACCCTTCGAAAGTCAAGGCTACCCTTTTGTAGCCTTGCGCCTGACCCCTAACATGTTATCAAAATCCATCGCTCCATTTTTGATAATAAGCTCATAGTTCCTTCTTGCTACAGTGAAAATTTGGAACCAAACACAAACATCTTAAAAAAATTATGATCCTTGCAATAAACCGATTCAGATCGAAATCAACCATCAAATTACCTGTGTTTGTAAAGTGCAACCATAGAAAACCGGTATAGGTTTCAAAAATCCATCCCTCTAGAAAAAGATAGCGTCCTCCAAAATGTCGCTCTCTGAGATCCCGCAGGTGAAAAGCAGGAGGAAGGAATTGTTTGGGACTTTCAGAGGGGAAAGGGGGGGGGGGGGATTGAAAAGACTTGTGCCTGACCTCTTGCTCAACTCTGAAAATAACACAGTAAAAGCTGGCGAATTCGAAACGCACAGGCGTACCATGATCGGCGTCGCGGCAGCGCGCGCAATTCGACCGCGGGGCGCGACAATGATCGCGAACTTGCAAAGATTGTTAGACAGTACGAACCGCGAAGAAACCTGCTTAACTATTAATAAAAAGTTACATATCAAGACACTTGCATTGTACTCAACGTTCAGGTTGGCCAAGGCATCAAATTTGTTATGAAACACATTTTTCGCAGAGCCCCCACACCGTCAAGCAAAATTTTCTTTTTCAAGACAGCTCTCTTCATACGAACCTATGATGTAAAAAATGGAAAACAGATTTCTTTACATATTTCTGTGCTTATGAACAATCAAAATGCTCTTCCTTAATGTAGGTAAATGCTCTTCTTTAGGTACATTTGATCAACTTCACTATTAGACAATTCATTTAACTGACCAGTAGCGAAGCAGCGTCCATTCAATTCCTTGATCCGCTTCATCCACTTTGTAGTTCGTATCTCATTAGTAGGCTAATAGCGAAGTAGATCAAGTAAATTAGTTGGATCAAATGGATCAAGTATGGTGCATGCCTTAGAAAACATGAGAGCGATTAGCCGTTGACATTTCTCTCACACCGCTAGTCTTTTCCACAACCATTCCATATACAATACCGCACATAACTCATCGAAAAAGTCGCCGGACTGCGGCGTACTTCGCCGGAGTGCGCTGCTGTGCGTCGGAGTGTGACGCAGTCCACTAGAGTGCAGCGAAGTGCGCCGCACATTAGAGTCCGTCGAAATACGCGCATCGCCATATCTCGCTCTAGAATGTACGAATTCTGAATCCGAGGACACCGTTTGATTCAGCTCGGCGAGGCGCATCATATGTTTGTATGCAGAAGTGCCACAACCTGTCGACGTACTGTACGGTAGGCAGTGGGTTTTCGCTCAGTTCTGAACATTTTTGTTTGGTTAGATTAGTCAGTGTGCTGATAACAACATCGCCATTGATTTGCTGTTGATGGCACATCGTACGGAATACTGTTGGAGTATGGTAAAGAGTCCTTATACTTTGATCGATTTGTTCTAAGTCCAGCTCAGAGTATCATGCGCTGATTGCGTAATTACATCTATTTGATGCTCAAGGCATAGTGGGCAGGGATCTGCGTTGTAATGTTATTTTAGTTGCGTTCGAAACGTTGCTTATTTTGTTTTCGCATGCTGCTCGTTTTGAACAGAAAGATCGCATGTCGCACAGGCCATTTGAAACGAAATGGTGTCATCAAATGTGCGTTGATGAGCTGGCCTAATCTGCTTTCCTTGTTTGCAGAACGGCTCTCTAGTAGAAGTTATAGGCGTTTCCATTTTCGCAAACACTCATTGTCACACCAAAAACTAGCGGTACAAGGACCCTTCATTATGTATCTAATAAAATCTTTGCTCTGAGTACAGTGAGTACACACAACATCATGCTCATGCTTTTTCGAATTGGTCTTCAAAGTAATATAGAGACGTAGCTCAATGACTCTATACTTCCAACCGCTCATAACTTCTCTCAGAGACTGGATCAGCAGCTAGGGAAGGTAGGTATCCTCATCAAAACGCCTAGTATATGCATTTTACCAGGACCGACAGTTGTGATCCTAAGGTCCGTAGTAGCTGTAGTAGCTAATATTCATTATGACGTTATGCTGTAGACTTCAATTGACGTTGTTAGTTGGCGCTTACTGATTTAACATATTTTCGTGAGCACGTGTTTCCACCACAACATACCGCAGCGCACATTGCACATAAAGGTTCAATAAGTATTTTTCAGTAGAGCTGTGTCTTCATAGCATTCTCAATAGAAAACTACTTACTACTACCTTCGTACTGAATATTAGCTACTACAGCTACTACGGACCTTAGGATCACAACTGCCGGTCCTGGTAAAATGCATATACTAGGTGCCTTGATAAAGATACCTACCTTCCCTAGCTGCTCAACCAGCCTCTGAGAGAAGTTATGAGCGGTTGGAAGTATGAAGTCATTGAGCTACGTCTCTACATTACTTTAAAGACCAATTCGAAAAAGCATGAGCATGATGTTGTGTGTACTCACTGTACTCAGAGCAAAGATTTCATTAGATATACAGGGTGTCCCAAAAAAATGTGAACACTGTTTGGTCTTTAATAACTCCGTAGCTTTCATGTCTTTCGCCAAGCTTGAGGCACCATTCTGTAGAGCGAGGTTAAACTTAGATTTGTGGTATGGAGCAAATCACCGATCGCCTTTCATTACTGTAGGATTACGGTATGAACTTCTGGCATGTGGATCTATTGTGGAATATGCCATTTGACAAAATTTTTTTCAAAAAATCTGAAAAATCGTGTACTAAGGTTTTCGCGCACGCTGATTCCATAATACCACTTTTAACGAGTGTTTTTAGCTTTTTTGACGGTGTAATCACTTTTTTGACAAATGCTGGAAATTCGGTTATTGAGGTTCACCTGGAATAACTTTGGAAAGAAGCATCACAGTGAAGTGAAGATTTCATATTCGAACTCAGCGGCTTCCATTACCCATTTATAAAAGTTTTTGGCTTGTTTGGTTTTGTTCCGAGGCAGAATATGGCTTTCAATGGCTTAAAATCCTTGCCAAAGTTCCTACCGTAATCCTACAGTAATGAAGAGCGATCTACGATTCGCTCCATACTAGGAATCTAAGTTAGACCTCGCTCTACAGAATGGTTCCTCAAGGTCGGCGAAAGACATAATAGCAAGGGAGTTATTAACGATCAAACAGTGTTCACATTTTTTGGGACACTTTGTATAATAAGGGTCCTTGTACCGCTAGTTCTTGGTGTGACACTGAGTGTTTGCGAAAATGGAAACGCCTATAACTTCTACTAGAGAGCCGTTCAGAAACAAGGAAAGCAGATTAGGCCAGCTCATCAACGCACATTTGATGACACCATTTCGTTTCAAATGGCCTGTGCGACATGCAATCTTTCTGTTCAAAACGAGCAGCACGCGTAAGCAAAATAAACAACGTTTCGAACACAACTAAAATAACCTTTTTACGCAGATCCCTGCGCACTATGCCTTGAGCATCAAATGGATGTAATTACGCAATCAGCGCATGAGAAATACTCTGAGCTGGACTTAAAACAAATCGATCAAAGTATAAGGACTCTTTACCATACTCCAACAGTATTTCGTACGATGTGCCATCAACAGCAAATCAATGGCGATGTTGTTATCAGCACACTGACTAATCTAACCAAACAAAAATGTTCAGAACTATTTACAGTTATTTCAATTATTTCGACGGACTATAGTGGTGCGGCGCACTCCGCTGCAATCTAGTGGACTGCGTCGCACTCCGGCGCACTGCAGCGCACTTCCGCGAAGTACGCCGCAGTACGGCGACTTTTTTGACGAATTATGAGCGGTATCGTATGTGAAAATCAGGAGTCCTCAGAATCGAGTAATTTGTTCTTTTACCCATCCAAGCGGCTTTCGCACTCTATGCATATGCAAATGGTTTGTTGAATTCAACAAAAAGAACATAACTCTGAGTGAATGCAAGTACATATCCAAAGGATGTACATCAAAGAGAGAGGAGTTTAACACCAATGTCACAAAAACAGCGTACAAAATAGAATGTTCCCAGCGTAAAGACAAGGATAAATGCAACCACGTCGTATCTGCGACCATTCAAGCACGTACATAGAAAAAAAAGTGCCTAGAAAGTTGTTAGCAAGGAGAACTTGTAAGGTAAATGAATAGGCAGCTGACGTAAGGCATAGTAAAGACTATAAAGGATTCTGAGCACAAACATGCTTTATGTCCGATAATAGTTGAAGTTAGGAAGAATACTTTACACAGGCAGCTGCGGCGTGTAACGCATGTGACGCA